GAGCTCTTCCAGAAACTCGTCTCGTCTGGTATAATTGGTGGAGCAGCGACATCTGCCGTTGCAAGCAGTAGCGGCGCCGTCAATGTACCTGCCGTGGAGACGAGCTCCAGCTCCAGCAAAGATGCCGCAGCAGCTGCGCCTGCTGCACCGCCCACGGAGCCCATTAAGCGCATTGAACTTCACAAACCAGAAACAATCAAGACGCGACAGTCGGCTGTTATAGCCACTTTATATTTGGGCATGCAGTGCAGCAGCTGTGGTGTACGCTTCCCGCCTGAGCAGACAATCAAGTATAGCCAACACTTGGACTGGCATTTCCGACAAAATCGACGTGAACGTGACTCAACGCGCAAGGCAACGTCTAGACGTTGGTTTTATGATCTCAATGATTGGCGGCAGTACGAAGAAATTGAGGATGTGGAGGAGCGTGAAAGGAACTTCCTGGAGGCGCAGGGTCAGCAACTGGGACCCGATGCTATCGATGAGGTGTCGCAGCAGCGTTCGCTGGACTCACCCGTGCCCAGCTGTGCCGCTGGCACGGATGATTTGGATCGCAGCTGTGACATGTGTCATGAGAAATTCGAACAGTTCTACAACGAAGAGCTGGAGGAATGGCATCTTCGCTCGGCTATACGTGTGGACGAGAAAATCTATCATCCTCTGTGCTATGAAGACTACAAGGCGTCTCTTAATCCGCCGGCGGCAGTTGTAAACGATTCCACGACCAATGGGGATATGGATATGCTCAATGCCAGCGATGACAATGCCATGGATACGCTTATCAAGGTGGAGGATGACTCGGGTAAGCTTTAAGTGAAAGTTAAGAAGTTCATTTATGAGTGCCACCAATTAAAACGATACCATGTCCATACTAATCCACTGTCTTACCTCCGCCTCACAGATGATGCCAAGAAGACATCAACCATGCTGCTGGATGACGACGATGACGATGTCATTGTGCTGCCTAATGAGGAGCCGAGTGTTACAGAAATCGTCGACGACGACGATGATGAATATGTGCCGATGGCTGTGACTGCTGAACCAGAGACAGAGGCGCCAAGTGAGAAGCCAACAACGTCAGCAACTTCTGGTGAACAGGAGCAAAAGAAGGAACAACAAAAGGATGAAGAACAACAACAAAGGGCAGAGAATGCCAATGAGTCGGATGTAGAGATACAGGAGCCAAACATTCCCTTTACCGATTTGGACACCTACGTAGAAAAAGAGCCAATGCCAATGCTCAATGTTAAAATCAAAGAGGAGCCCAAAGATGATGACGAAGAGGACGAAGACGACGGCTTTGAGGATGTGGGCACGGTGGTGCAATTGGTGCCACTGCCAGAAGATGAAATATCTATACTAAGCAGTGGTAAGTACTCTAATTATAAATATATATATTTTCATGCTGATTCTAACTGAACATTTCTTGACTGTGCTCAGAAACTCAAACCCAGACCATCGATTCAACCGCCTCGCCGGCAACCATGGAGCGTCCCGCCTCGGTAACATCGCTTTCTATGACGGCTAATGAGGATGATCTGGAACTGGAGCCAAGCGCTGCGATGGCAGGCAACAGCGAGGCTGATTTTAATGGTGAGAATCCACAGGAGACGCATAATCTGAGCGCAGCGGGACCGGCGCCGGCGTTACCTTTGGCTAGCATAGTTAATAAAATAAAAATAAATATCACTAAGAATACAAGTAGTAATAGTCATAATAGTGCCTCAACAACAACGACGACGTCGGCAGCGGCAACAGCAGCAGCAACGGACTCGCAAGTGTCGGCCATAAGTGTAATTGGCGCCACGGGAAATGCCGATGTGCATCAGCAGCAGAATTCCATACAAACAATTTCCACAATTCCAGTGCTGTGCGGAGGCAATACGTTTGTGCCGAAGATTGCCACCAGCAGCAGCACTTGCCTTAATGCGCCGCCTGCAAACATTAGTTCCATTTCGGTTATTGGCAGCAGCTACGGCAGCAGCAGCAGCAGCAACAACAACAACAATAATGTCAACTCACGTTTGCCCACACTAGCAGCAACAACAACAACAACAACAACAACAACAACAGCAGCAACATCGCTGGGCGCGCCAGCAGCAGCAACTGGCAGCAGCGGCGGGGGCGGCGGCCCAGCAACAACGGCCGCTGCGCAAAAGTCGATAACACCACCACCCGCTGCAGTTGAAGCTGAGCCGGAGCCTGTTATCGAACTGAAGCCGGCGCTGCGACAGGTGACGCTCAAGAAAACGAAGAAAGTGCAAAATGGCGTCGAAACGTCGGGCCTGTGCTCGATCATGTAAAAGTGAGAGGGCACATGCCCATTATTCCTATTCTCACTTAATGTGTTTTTTTATAATTAGCAATCCTAAAATTTTAATTTAGAACGTTACTTAGTTTTATACAATTACAGACGCGCGGTCAATAGCGCGTTTTTTGGTTCTCTGTAGGTACCTAACCTTCCCCTCCACTCTCACAAACCAAACCAAACCAACCAACGCCTGCCGCCTGGGCAGCGCACAGAGCGCAACACTTAATTTATTTTTATTACCATAATAATGCAAATAAAAAGAAAAACTTACACAAAACGAGAAATCAACGTATACATAATTTGTGATAATTTTATAACACTCGGGAGAACATATTCAGTTAGACAAACCCAACTTGATTCATCATTATAATTCATGTAATGCGTATTTGCTAAATTTGAAACAATAAATGAAAAACGGAATTCAAACCATTTGATTTAATTAATATTAATAACCATATATATATATATATATATATACATATATATATATATAATATAATTTAAAGTACTTAGTTATTTCAATAAACGTACAGGCAATAACAATAAACACCAAGTTGTTTTTATTTTATAAATTTTGATTCAGAGAAAAACTGCAAGTTGAGAATAATTTTACCCATGCGACGAATTTAAATTTTGAATTTACGCTTTGCGCGCCTCTATAGTGCTACAAAACGTCACGTTGGTTGGTATTGGCACTTAAAAGTCATAGCAGTCAGCCTGTTACACGATGCACACAGCTGATGTGTTAAACAATGTCTAAAAAATACCAAGCGCGTTATACTATGCACGTGGGCCTGTTTAGCGTTTAAACTTTTTAGAAATTACAATTCATAAAATGTCCTCATCGTTTTTTCTGAAACCAGGCGCCGCCAAACAGGCCAACAAAAAGCGCAAGGTGAGCCCAATAACTCAAAGAAATACACACAAAATTCAGCACACGGCAATTCACATTATAGTTTAACGCAGCAAAAACCAAAGGCGGCGCTAAACCGGGCAAAAAAACACAAAATGCAACAGTTCCAGGGCCAAAAAAACAACGACGCGCCAAGGTGGACGACGAGGAGATTGCCAGTGATGATGAGGAATATAACAGCGATATGGGCAACAACACTTTAGCGTTCTCCACCGACGAAGAAGAGGAGGAAACACCCCAAGACAAACGTTTGCGTCTGGCCAAGCAATATTTGTCTGAAATAGAGAAACAGGAGGCGGAGCGTGCCGAGCATCGCGAGTTGAGCCAGAGTGTCGAGCAGCGTCTACAAACCGAGTACTTGGATAGTGTAGGGCGATTGCGTCGCAACATAGCTGCTGGCCTCCAATCGTGTACAATCCAGAGCGTGCTCAAGCACAAGGTGCACCACACGCCGCTTTGTGCCCTAGCTCTCAGCGCAGATGGCAAATACCTGTACACGGGCGCAAAGTCGCAATATGTACTCAAATGGTGCACGGAGAGTGGGAAAGTGCTGGACAGAGGCGACGTGCTGCCGCATCGCGAGGAGCCCGAAACGAACAAAAAGCGCAGATCGCATGTCATTGCCATTTGCCTGTCCACAGACTTGAAGTATATGGCATTGGCCGAGGGCGGCCCCAACATACAGATCTGGTGTCCACAGACCATGAAGCATGTAAAAACGTTCAAGGGGCACAGGGATAATGTCGCGGGTCTGGTATTTCGCAAGGGCACGCACGAGCTGTACTCGGCGGCCAAGGATCGCTCAGTGAAGATTTGGTCTGTGGATGAGTTGGCCTACGTGGAGAGTTTGTGAGTGTGCGCCACAAAGCAGTCTAGTTTGAATTCCAATCTAATCACAATTTAATATAGGTTTGGACACCAGACTGCTGTCACGAGCATAGATGCACTGAGTCGGGAACGTGCTATAACCGCAGGCGGTTCAGATTGTTCGTTACGCATTTGGAAGATTACCGAAGAGTCCCAGCTGATTTACAACGGACACAGAGACGGCATTGAATGCGTCAAGCTGATTAATGATGAGCATTTCGTCTCTGGCGGCGTTGATGGGTTAGGACACCAAATGTTAATAACTAATATATTATTAATACATACGCTCATAATCTTTGCAGTGCCATTAGCTTGTGGAGCGCCTTGAAGAAGAAGCCAATTTGCACAACGCAACTGGCGCATGGAAAGGGCGAGAATGGCGTAGCCAACTGGATAACAGCCATTGCCGTTGTGGTCAATACAGATCTGGTGGCAACAGGTGCGGCTGGAGCACTTTAACAAATGTAAAGCCTGAATTTAAAATGTTTCTTGTATTTTAGGCTCTTGCGACGGCTGTGTCAGACTGTGGCAAAGCAATCCAAATGCGCGCAAGCTGCAGCCGATTCAAACAATATCCATTGCGGGCTTCATAAATGGCCTGACTTTCAATGCCGATGGCACCAAGCTGTATGTGGCTGTGGGCCAGGAGCATCGGTTGGGCCGTTGGTGGCGGCATAAAGCTGCCAAAAATAATATAGTTGTAGTTGACATTAAGTTACAAAGCACAGCCAGCTCGTAAGTTAAATGTAAGCTTTTAAATAAACTTGTTTATAGAAGAAACGCATCGAGTAACGTGAATAAAAATAAAAGTAAATCATTTTTGAAACAAACAATTAATCGATTAATCTTGCCGTGCACGTCGATAAATGCCAAGCTGAGTATAAATATCGCACCATTTCGATGTGGCGGTCGGCCGATAAATAGTGGTTACAAAACAGGCAAACATGCAGAAGAAAGCCGGTGGCGGCCTTTTATCCTTTTTTAAGACCGAAAATGGACGTAAAGTGGTGTTCTATGCGGCAGGCACGACCACAGCTGGACTTTTTATAGCCAACTTTGTGCCACACACATTCGGACTGAAATATTACCGCAATTTTGTCCAATGTTATCAGTGGGTTAGCGTATTAGAGGAACATAGTGTCCATACTTATTAACTGTTTTTCTGCTTCACACAGGAATGGTATTGAACGTGAAGTTCCGGAAGCAGTGCAGCAACGTGTGAATCAGGCAATGGACAAGCTGGAGATTGATCCGCGCGAGCGCAAGTTCGTTAAACCCTTTACTGTATTTGGCTTCGATCTGTTTCAAGCGGGTACCACAAAGTATCGCTTTGGTGCCGCCCTGGGCATACCCGTAAACTACGCCTATGGTAGCACTGATGAGATCAAGCGGGCAGATATACGCTTTCGCGATCAGCAAATCGATTGGACCTCGGACAGTGGAAAACTGTTGGAGAAGGCTATTGTCTTGACGGAGGACGAGCAGGTGTTTGGACTATGCAAGGCAATTCTGCAGCTGCAAACACATCGCGTGCTTTTGAACTCCATATACCCCAGTCTGAACTTCCTCATGGTCTACACCATTGGACACTTCTTGAACCTGCGTCTCAATCTGTTTGCGCGTCATGGCAGCGTATGTTTTTGATTGGGAATCCTTGTCGCAATTGTTAATCGTTTGCTTCACAGATGCGTTTTGTTTTGTACACCATTTTGGGCTTGTTCGGCGTGGGCAGCTGGTCTTTCATGAAGGACATTAATCAAGTGGTCACCGACGCAGAGATAGACAAGAAACTTGCAACGCTGGGTCCACAGTTTGTGGCCGCCGGCATCAGTTACTATGATAAGCATTTAAAGAAGAATATTGCCCTAAGAAATCTTATTGGAGACAACACCTATACGGCTTTGGGCAATGAGAACTATATGCTGCGCCAGAAGTCTATGCCTTTGACGGCACGCAAGTCTTTCTTCGAGGACAAATGGCAGGAGCTACAAAATCAACAGGAAACAACGGCGACACAATAAGCAATAGTTAATAAACGTTTGTTGAAAAATCTATTGTTTGAAAAACAATCTTTTTTGGTAACAATTTGTTTTCATTCGATAAGAAGACCCAGTCCAAATCTTAAAAACGTGGCTTGGCATCTAAATTGAAATTGAATGAACCAAAATCGTTAAAAACCGTAAACCGAAACATCAACAATCATTTTTAAGGATTTATTCGTTAACAACTAGTTTACGGCGACCTAATGGAATACCAAAGTGTATAAATTATGGCTAGAATAAAAATAAATAAACAAAAATCACAAAAAATAACAATCAAAGCAACTTTAAAGTCAATCACTTTCAAAAGTCAATAACGTTTGATACTTTCAACTCAAGAAATTAAATAATTGTTTAAAATAACGGAAATGAGCTCCCGTTAGAGGACTTTATAGAATATTCGTCTGATATATCATCTCAAGAGACAAACAAAAGTTGACTAGCATCGTGTGGCATCTTTTAAGGAATGTTAAAAAAATAAATATATAACTAAATAAAAACTTACAATGCCATTTAAAATGTTTCCTCGCCAACCACATCGCTGATGGTGGCCACCAAGCGGCGGGCATGCTCGACGGCGCAGGTGGCCGTGACGAGGCCCAAATGTATGCAGTACAATTCATAGACGCGCACTTTGCCCGGCGCCAGCTTGGGAAAGCAAAGCTCGGCCAGCTCGCTGTAGTAATCCATGGGCAGTGCACCAGGCTCGGCTGGTGTCTTCTGCCCATTGCCACCGGCGCCAAAGCCCGTGGATAGGAAATGCTGTTGCAAGTCCAGGGTGCATTTCAATATGCCACCCGATAGATCCTCAAACCAGAGGAAATAAGAGTAGTGGAATGTGCGATCCTTCCACATGACTGTGGTTTGACCCTTCTTTAAATAGCTGCGAGTGAACTCCACCATGTGCCACAGTTTGGACTTGGGCAGCAGCTGTGGACTGTTTTGACGCAAGTCCGGCGCCAGCATTTGACCGGAGCTGCGATTGACGTACATGAAATGCACCAGGCCTGGAAAGTCCTCCAAGTAAGCATCAATGGAGATGTTGCGTGCCGCCTTGACCGCCAGGAATTCGGCAAATTCCAGCAGCTTGGCCTCAACCACAGCTGCCGAGTCGGCCAGCTGATCCAGCTGCTGATTGCTGGCGCTGTCGCAGCTGGCCAAGGAGAGCGTAAACAGTTGCTTCAGCTCCTCCACAAAAGCTGGCAAATTGGACTCGATGCGTACGAGCAGCTCGCGCTCGAAACTCTTGAAGAATTCCACGTACATCTTGCGTAGATTCTCCCAGCGCGCCGTAAACTTTTTGACACAGCTCTCCAAATCCTCGTGTTTTTGCTTCAGATGGCGCTTAAGCGCCGTCAAGGTCTGGCTGACAAAAGATTCCAGACTCTCGTAGGCGGGCTTCAATGCATCCGCATCGCCCTGCTGCTGCACGGCCACAATCTTCTGCAGCACAAAGAATGTGTCGTATATGGAGCTGGTTAGCGGCATGTTGCCGTACTCGATGATCTGCAGCAGCACCTGATGGCCATGCAGGCGCGAAAGATGCACAATGCTAGGCACACAGCCAGAATTGACATCGTGTGAAACTCCTTGAAGGAAAACGGCCACGGCGCGTTGGGATTTCTGGGATTGCAGCGCTCGCGCTAAGATGGCCAGAAAGAGCAAATCGGCGGGCGCCAAGGGAAGCGCCTGGCGTGTGCTATTCAATGCCACCAGCTTATGCGAGACAAGAAGCAGGGCATGTGCCCGTTGCTGTCCGCCCGTTTGTCGCAGTTGCTCCAGCGTCGCATCCAGTGTCACGTGCACAGTGCGTTTCAGTTCCGTGTTGATGAGCAGCTTGGGCAATGCCTCCAGCAAATAGGCCTGCTCCTCCTGCCACAGCTGCGACTCATAACAGTTGAGGCACAGCGTCAGCAGCTCCTGCTGCATGGCTCCAGCCTGTACGCCAAACAAATTGGCACCGTAAAAGTAGCGTGTCAGTGTTATGGCCACGCCCAGTTGCCGCATCAGTTGCTCAATCTCGGTTTGGCCAATTTTCAAAAAGGTGAAACCCAGGAGCTCGCCAAAGGCCAAATTGAAGCCATTCTCGCACTGGAAGCTCGCATAGGCATTGTCAAACTGACAGTGCATAATCCGCTGTGAGCTGATAATGGGACTGAATATCTGCAACAGGACATTGCTGTCCAGGGCGGCGCCGGGTGTCGTTACGCTGCCGGCAGGCACCAAACCTTGTGCAATTGCTATATTGCATATTTTCTCCGTTAGATCTCCATTCAAATTTTGATAAGCCACATCGTTGGCGCTATTGAATACAATTAGACCGTCCATTTTCTTATCAGAAAGAAAAAACGGCTAAAACAGCACAATGCACTGGTTTTGTCTATTTGTGTAGTTAATCCGCGGCGTGCGGCAGGCAGCGATACTTCGGCTGCCACGTAATAAAGTTAAACCAACCAAGTTCAGTGTGTATTTATTAAAAAGAAAACGCAGATTGTGGATTCAGATGTTGTTTTAACTGTAAATCTTCGTGTTACAGTTCAGTGTTCATTCCTATCGTTTTGCAAAAGTATCGATAGTTATAGGTGTGGGAAAGTGTACTTGGCGCTAACTTTGAAAATTTGAATTATAAGTAAATACCTATACTATGCATTTGGTTATATTGGTAAAGGTGGTGTGGGACTTAGTATTAAACCAAAGAATGTTAACTCATAGGAATTTAAAATAATATATTGTTTGCACACAATTATTTTCTAAGTGCTAGAATTTGCCAGTGATAAGAGCTGAGCGTTGCCATATAGTTGATATATGCGTTCAGTTCCGTTAGCGAATTAAATTAATTCCTTTAAAATGTAACAAAACACGCAGCCTTTCAGCTTGTCGAATATTTATATATAAAAACTTATATTTCCATTTTAGTTTTGCTGCAATATTAAGTAATTGATTGTATTACTTTCATTTTCAAGTTGTGTTCAAAGATCAAAGCGATGAAACTAGTTCGGGACTGAACCCTTGACTAACATCTGTTTTTTTAGGACTCACGCATGCAGCGTTATCAATAGAAATCAACATATATAATTTAATATATATACCTTGAAACTACACAACTTTAATTATGGGTCGCCTTATTCTCGAGCATACGCTGCAGGGTCACAAAGGAAGAATTTGGGGCGTTGCATGGCATCCAAAGGGCAATAGTTTCGCCTCTTGCGGCGAAGATAAGGCCATCAGAATTTGGTCACTTTCGGGAAACACATGGACCACCAAAACCATACTATCTGATGGGCACAAGCGCACCATACGCGAGGTACGCTGGTCACCGTGCGGTGAGTATTTGGCCTCCGCCAGCTTCGATGCCACCACAGCCATTTGGTCCAAGCACGAATGCACCGCAACGCTGGAGGGGCACGAGAATGAGGTGAAAAGCGTTAGCTGGTCACGCAGCGGCGGCTTGTTGGCCACTTGCTCGCGCGACAAATCAGTGTGGATCTGGGAGGTGGCTGGCGATGATGAGTTCGAATGCGCTGCTGTGCTAAACGCACACTCGCAGGATGTAAAGCGTGTGGTGTGGCATCCAACAAAGGAAGTCTTGGCCTCAGCTTCGTATGACAACACAATCAAGATGTTTGCCGAGAGCGCGCTTGATAGCGACTGGGACTGTACGGCGACGCTCAGCTCGCACACGAGCACAGTCTGGAGCATTGATTTTGATGCAGATGGCGAGCGTTTGGTTTCCTGCAGCGACGATGCCACACTTAAGATTTGGCGTGCCTATCATCCGGGCAATGATGCTGGCATTGCCACGCCCGACAAGACCACCGTGTGGAAATGCGTGTGCACCTTGTCCGGAGAGCACTCGCGTGCCATCTATGATGTGTCCTGGTGCAAGCAGACAGGCCTGATTGCCAGCGCTTGTGGCGATGATGGCATTCGAATTTTCAAAGAGAGCAGCGATTCCAAACGAGATGCACCCACATTTGAGCTGCTAACAGCCGAGGAAAGCGCACACGAACAGGATGTGAATGCAGTGGAATGGAATCCAGTGACGGCCGGTCAGCTGATCTCCTGCAGCGACGATGGCACCATCAAGATATGGAAACTGCAGGAGTAATCATATCTTTTTGTCCCGGTTTTGTGTATATAATTTAAGTATTTCCTATTGCCTATTGTAATAAATAGCTGTTACAATAAACTGGCCTTATTTGCTAAGAAAGGGTTCGTGCAGCGTTTTGTACAATTTCTTGGCCTTGCGCGGTCCCAAGCCCATAACTTGGGAAAGCCGCTCCTCGCTGGCATTAATAAGATTCTCCAGATTGCCAAAGATTTGCAAAATCGTGACGGCGTCCGTTTTATTCACTGGTTTAATGTTGGTCAAAGCTGCCACAAGCTGCAGAGTATGAAACCCATTGAAATTACATTAAAGACTGAACATCACACCCACCTTCTGATGCGGATTGGACTCAACGCGCTCCATAATCAAATCCGGCGGACGCTTCTCGAACTGCTTATATGTTTCTATGATTTTGCCTGCCTCCTCGGAGTTCCAGGCGAGCATCATCGTTAGATCTGCCAGTAGCGAAATGCGTGTTAAGCTTTTCAGCGCATTGTGCGGCTCTGGCGTGTCCACCTGCACCAGCAGCACGCGTAGCTCATACATCTTGCCCAGCGCCTTGAGGCGTTGGCAAATGTAATCGGGATTCAAATTATGGTACTTGAGCGATAGGAACAGTATGCAGGAAGTACGACCCACCACATAGTCTGGTATAATATCATCACGAAACTCCAGGGGCACGTTGAGAATGGATTTCAGAATGGGATTACCCCGTTGCTTGCTGTGCACCAAAACACTGTGAGGATTTGAAGGCGGCGGCTTAGCTGTACCGGCTGCAGAACTGGTGCTGCTGCTGATAGATGCGTCTGTTTTTGTCGTTGTTTGTATTTTCGGCTGCTTTGGAGCTGCGGGGATTTCCATTGAAGCCAAGACATCATCAAATGAGTCGTCGTTAAGGTCTTCCATTTTATAGCCCGGCAGTTTAACAAATTTCTCGAAATACAATTATCGTTATCGCTGCGTTGCTACAATCGATAGTTTTTCATACAACATGGCAACTCTATTATTGTTTTGCCCTTTCCTTTCGAGTTGTCAATTCATCGACGACGACGACGACGACGTGTGCGTGCAAATTTGTTTATTCTATTTGCAAAATAATATAACTTAACAATCTATAAAACCATGGCTTCGCATCCGGTGTTTATAGACCTATCGTTAGATGAACAGGTAATGTTTCAATTACGTTTTACCGCGCCGTCTGTGCCGCATTCAATATTAAAGTGAGGTTATGTTGGCAGTGGGTGCAAAAACAAATTTTGTAAATACAAAATAAAATTTAATGTATTTTATGTTTTAACAGGTGCAAGAGCTGCGCAAGTATTTTAAAAAGCTTGGCGCCGAAATCTCATCGGAGAAATCGAATAAAGGCGTGGAAGATGATTTGCATAAAATAATCGGCGTCTGTGAAGTCTGCTTCAAAGACGGTGAACCAGCTCAGATTGATGGAATTCTCAACAGCATTGTGTCCATTATGATAACGGTATATATATATAGTTTATAACTGCCAGTAAATAGCTTAACAATAATACATTCAGATACCTCTGGATCGTGGTGAGAACATTGTGTTGGCCTATTGCGAAAAGATGACCAAGGCGCCCAACCAGCCGCTGGCAAAAGTGTGTCTGCAGTCGCTGTGGCGTTTATTCAACAATCTGGACACAGCCTCTCCATTGCGCTACCATGTCTACTATCATTTGGTGCAGGTGGCCAAGCAGTGCGATCAGGTGCTAGAGGTGTTCACTGGCGTCGATCAGCTAAAGTCGCAATTTGCCAACTGCCCGCCGTCCAGTGAGCAGATGCAAAAGTTGTACCGTCTGTTGCACGATGTCACCAAGGACACCAATCTGGAGCTGTCTTCTAAGGTCATGATTGAGCTGTTGGGCACCTATACGGCAGACAATGCGTGCGTTGCTCGTGAGGATGCCATGAAGTGCATTGTCACCGCCCTGGCCGATCCCAATACATTCCTGCTCGATCCTTTGCTATCGCTGAAACCCGTGCGCTTCCTGGAGGGTGATCTGATACACGACTTGTTGTCCATCTTCGTGTCCGACAAGCTGCCCTCGTATGTGCAGTTCTATGAGGATCACAAGGAGTTTGTCAACTCGCAGGGCCTGAACCACGAGCAGAACATGAAGAAAATGCGTCTGTTGACATTTATGCAGCTGGCCGAAAGCTATCCTGAAATGACTTTCGATACGCTGACCAAGGAGTTGCAAATCGGCGAGGATGAAGTGGAGCCATTTGTCATCGAAGTGCTGAAGACAAAGCTGGTGCGTGCGCGTCTGGATCAGGCCAATCGCAAAGTTCACATTTCCTCGACAATGCATCGCACCTTTGGTGCACCACAATGGGAGCAGCTGCGCGATCTGCTCCAGGCCTGGAAGGAGAACCTTAGCTCGGTGCGCGAGGGATTGACGAATGTATCATCTGCACAACTGGATCTGGCACGCACGCAAAAGCTGATACATTAAGAAGAAAATAAAAACAAATACCTAAGTGACGTCAAGAACAAATAAAAAGCGCGGGTAAAGTTTTACATATTAAATTATTTTGAGGAATGCGTGAGAAATCAAGCTTGAATAAATTTCTAAGTAAAATCAAATATGTATCTAATTAATTGCAACTTAAACGTTAAATCATCCTAGTTGGATTTGTTCTAGTCAGATGTGGGAAATACTTTCTAGCTTAATACTAAATATGCTAAGCTTTTTTGAGAATTGTTAGAGATTGTCAGGCTTCATAGCTCCTCATGGGGCTTGGACTGTTGGCGTTCCTTTTCTTTAGGAAAAGACCAGAAATACGAGGGGAATCCGTGAGTGTCCCGCTCACGTTTAACGAATGCGCTGTACGAAGATATGCAGTTGCCAATAAAATGATTCGATTGCCCCAATATGGCCAAATCAAGATAGGGATCATCTTCGGGCAACTTGTGCACGCTGATATCCATGCGACTGAGCGCGTTGCTTAGCTCGCTTATCATATGATTCGCATCGGATGCCACAAAAACGGATTTCACCTCGTTCTTCGGTTGCGATTGACGCACATTTTTAATTATGCGCTTTAGCTGCCGCACAATTGCCTCCTTGGTGGGCATGCACAGTTCCGTGTACAGCTCGCCGCGCTCATTCTTATAGCCCAGGCACTGCGGCGATGCGAAGAGCTGTTGACTGTCCTTGATATGCTCGCATGCGCGCACCCAATCGATGCCATTGCGCAAATGCAGGCCAACAAAAGCGCCGCGCGGCAGAACATTGCGTATAAATTCACGAGCTGCTTCTCTATACCGTGGACTCCACTTTAAGTACTTTTGCAATACGCGGTTCTCGAGTTGCACAGGAAAACTGGCGGGCGCGCCGGTAAATGCTAGTACGGGCCACTTATCGGCCGTATAGCTCTGCTGCCATTTGGTGGCTATGGCACTGTGGTGTACATCAAAATGCAGTGGACCATAGAACTCGGAGGCCACAAAGTCAATATTGTACGTGTCCCAGAATGGACCAAATGGATTTCCATCCTTGGCATGACAGTTGGGCGCATTCGGATCGTTCTTCTCCTGCTGCAAGCTCTTTCGCTCCATATAACAGAAGGATACGCGCTCCGAGGCGGGCCACACCTCGTCAGCCAGGTGGCTCATAAAGTCCGACATGAGTATGACGCGATGAAACTCCTGCAGCGGCTCTACCTCAAAGTATGTGTCGAATGGCACCTGTCGAGAGCGCAATTCACCCTTGCGATACTCCACCCATGGCGGCAATATAAGCGTGCGATTTAGAGCGCGAGCAAAGGCCAAGGAGCCCAGAAAATGATCCGCCTGGTTGCCAAAGCGTCCTGAGGGCAAAACATAAACAAAAACTGAAAGCAAACAAAACCCATCAAAACTTACCCATACAGGGACAATAGGCAATATAGCCATTAGGATCTCGCTCAAACTGGGCGTTTGTCTTTAATATTAAGCTTGAAATTAAATAAATTAATAATTTAATCCACTGCATTCTGCCGGCTTCGTGTGCAGTGTTGCCAGAATTCGAAAGGCGTAAAGATCCTGAAAAAAACTGGCTTTAAATGGTTTAAAAAATAAGTATTAAGCTACTCTAAGATTAATGTGATTGGATATGGATTTTAAATAATTAAATAAAGCGATTTTCACAAAACCTATGCTAGTTTCTTTTATAAAATATGGCTTAGTTAAAATGGCAGCACTGTTTATATGAAAGTCGCTCTTAATCGATTGCAGGTTTAACATGTTATTGTGCTGCCACTTAAATTTCAGTATAAGAGTCTGGCAGCCTCGCGCAGGCAGAATTGACAGTTGTTTTTGTTTGCTTTATTTACGTTTTATCTATTTCATAATTGTCGTATGCTCGCTCATTAATGTTTTGAGATAAGATCTTGGTGGCGACAAACATACAAATGACTTCTCAGATCTACAGTCAAAAGAAGTTCATACCCACAGCGCCGGAGAAGGGCAGCTTTCCATTAGATCACGAGAGCTTGTGCAAGAAGCACTTCCTAATCTACGCCAGTTGCTTGCGGCGCAACGAGAACGACAACGCCAAGTGCCGGGCAGAGGCGCAAGAGTATTTAGGCTGCCGCATGGACAACAATCTTATGGAAAAAACAGAATGGGCGAAATTGGGCTTTCCGGAAAAGACGCCAGCAACGCAGAAGCAGCAGCAGCAATCAAATTGAGGCCAGAACGCAATGTGCTCATTGCGGCCACAGGCAGCGTGGCCACCATTAAACTAGTACAATTAATATCCGAACTAAGCAACGAAAAGCTGCCCTATACATTTAACGTGAGTGTCTGCACCCAGCTCCATCTTCGAGTCAATTAATTGCCAATCTATTGCCAACAGGTTAAGGTCATTATAACGGAGCATGCCAAACACTTTTTTGAATTGGAGCAGGTGCCGGAACATGTGCCCATTTTGCATAATCGTGACGAATGGCTAGCCTGGAACAAACGCGGCGACCCCGTGCTGCACATTGAGCTGGGCAAGTGGGCGCACATGCTGCTAATTGCGCCACTTAGCGCCAACTCTCTAGCCAAAATAGCCACTGTACGTTTGACTTATCTTTGTTTAAACATTAGATAGTTATACAAATATATAGTTTTTTTGTATTTGTTTTAACAGGGCCATTGCGACAATCTGGTGATGTGCGTGGTGCGCGCTTGGGATTTGGAAAAGCCGCTGCTCTTTGCCCCAGCGATGAATACACGCATGTACGACCATCCCATAACGCGCGAACAGATTGATAAGTTAAACAGCTGGGGCTACAAGGAGATACCCTGCATTTCCAAGACCTTAATGTGCGGCGATACGGGAAATGGTGCCATGGCCGAGGTGCCTACAATTGTGACGTCAGTTGTGTCCGCTTTTCAGTTGCCATTGTAGATACTTTTTTTCTGGTTGTTAACAAATAAAAAGATTTTGGTTTTTGTTTAAATAATTTGTGGTCCATTTGTAGGGAGTAAATACTATTTGGGGTTTTTTTTTCATTCAATTTATTTGTAATAATGTTTATTGGTTAATTTTGAGTGCATCTAGGAGCAAAATGATTTTCGTTTTCCTTTTTTGTTTTTCTCTCTTTTGAATTTTGTTCCTCATCTTGTTATAATAATTTGTTTTTGTTTTTAATTGCATTTTAGTTTCTCAATGTACATTTATGTTTTTTGTTTCAGTGTATATTTGTGTGTTTTTTTTGTTTTATCAACAGTTGTTTTATGCTTTTAAATCAATTTGTTTTATATGTGAATTACAATTACTTTTATGCGCTATATTATGTGTATGCTAGAGATGTGGTCGTGGTATGTGTGTGTGTGTGTGTGTTTGATTGTGAAGAATAATAAACTTAGATTAGGGAAATAAAAAGCTTAGGTTTTAAAAATTACACAGTAAAATATATTATGTATGTATGTATTGTAGTTGCATGTATGTTTATTATGTAGTTGCTTATGTATTTTAAAAACGAACCAACTGAATTATCATCACGCATATGCTGCAACGACAAATTATAAAAAATATAGTCTTCAGGCATATGTCAACCTAAGTTTGAAGTTTCTCAATTCTAGCTTAATCGTAAATATATATTTATATATATATATATATATACTTTTTTCATTTATAAATTACATTTAATATTAAACATAAATATGTACATAGCTTTCTTTCTTGTTTTTTTTTTTTTTTATATTGGTTTTTGCTGCTTTTGCCGCTGCCTTTTTGTTGTATTTGTTTTGTTTAAATTACATTGAGTGTTTATAATCTGTTCATATCATCATTTTGCATGTGCCCATGCAATAGCCCCATAAATAAACACCTGAACAGAGTTTTTTAGGGCTACGCAACAAACACAAAATACACAACACTTGCTTGCATACTAAGTTTTGTTTTACCCCCCAGCCCAACTACCAATAGTTACTTTCTCTATTTACATGGCTTTTAATTGCTGCACATTAAATTAACAAATACATTTTACGCAAGCGATTTCCTGCTATAGCTTTGTGTGTGTGTGTGTATGTGTGTGTGTGCTCAAGCCTCTGCACTTGGTTTGCATCTAGTTGGGTGTAGTTTTATAGTCTAGCTTATAAATTTTGTCGGGTTATAGGTCGAAAGCAACCAGAAATCAACTTTAATACACATTTGTCTTCGTCCTCTTCTATGTGGGTGGGGCGCACTAACTAACTAACTTTTCGACTTGCCAATACATAATTATATATACATATATATATATTAGCCATTGCATCTAAATATGGTTAACTCTATATATTACTATAATACGTTTTCCAGTTGCATCTGCAGGCTTAGCTCTCATCTGATCACACAAGATACGCACAGCTTCGAGGCACTGATGCAATCATCGTGGCAGAACGCGCCGCATTGCTGGCAAATCACCATCGCGTTTAGGGCGCAGGCGCAACTGTTGTTGCTCGCCTCGCTGCCCGGTGGCGTGTTCTCGCCGCTTTGATGCAATTGCAGCAGTGGATGTTGTTGTTGTTGTGGCTGCTGTTGATGTTGGTGTTGTTGCTGGGTTGTTTGTTGATTCACTACGCCTCCCGCTGCTGTTGCTGCTCCTGTGGTCGTCACTATGTAGTTGTTGCCCGCATCCATGAGAGCCGCCGCCGCCGCCGAGTTGCTGCCGTCTATGTAGGTAATGTTGGTGCCTTTTATGTGTAGATCAAAGTTTTAGTATTCAATTTTAAATTCACCTTATTTATATATATAGCAAACAAATTAATATTGAATCAAAAATATTAATATATACTTAAATACATATGCTGCATTCACACTTGAGGTTCTTAAAATGCTTTTTTAAGGTTTAACACAAGAAGCAAACTCACAAAGCTACTCGTAAATGTAATTTAAAGGTTTCCAAGTGTCAAAACTAAACCGCTTTTCAAGCTTGAGACCATTTTGCTGATTCTAAATAATAATAATTAATAATAATAAATTTCACATACAATTTTCCTCAGTTTCTAGACTATGAAGTCGTATTATCCTAGCAGATTTCTACATATTCCTATTTCTATAGCCTGATATTCGAACTCGGAGATTTTTCTAGCCTGAAGGACTGAATAACTGATACAAATCAACTATCGTAGACGGATTTATAATAAATATAAAAGCAGCAAATAATCAGCTTTTAATTAGTGACCTTCCACTCTCATTTGTATACCCTGAACCCATTAAAAATGGGTATAAGGGTATATTGTATTTGTGCGAAAGCCAAATGGCAGAAGGAAGCATCTCCGACCCCATAAAGTATATATATTCTTAATCAGCATAAATAGCCGAGTCGATCTAGCCATGTCCGTCTGTCTGTCCGTCCGTCCGTCCGTCCGTATGTATGAACGCAAGGATCTCAGAACCTATAAGAGCTAGAGACTTGAAATTTTAGATGTAGGTGCTCCTAGTTCCCGCGTAGATCCAGTTTGTTTCCGATAATCGATAACTTACTCCGTTTCCAAGCAATCGATAAAAATCAATATCGATATCTTGTTTGTTGGGCAATTTTGGTAAATAATAAGAGCTAGTCACCAAACTTGACATATTGCTTCTAAAATAGAATAGATATATGCATTTGATGTTGGAAGAAGTGGGTTCAGGGTATCCCCTAGTCGGGAGCTCCCGACTAGAACCTCTTACTTGTTTGAATATACATAGATTACAAACAATATGATAAAATGTTATTTCGAACCCTCATCTCTTCTCTTATGTTAAGCTCTTAACTAAATTCCCACAACGTGTGAATGCATTAAATTAATAAATAAACCATGCAGTTTACATACTCGAACATACGCATACGCAAAAGGTTACGTGGAAACGAAAAAACTATGAGTCAACGGATGGATATTTTGTTGTTCGCCAAATAGGTAAATCTAACAAATCTATTGTCATAATTAATAAATGCGTGCCAAATTGTGATATTGATGAATGTATGAATGTTGGAATTTGTGTGCGGTGATTTGAAAGACGTACCTCGCTAAGCACTAATAATACACCAATTTACCTGCAGCGATATTGCGCCGCACAATATTCGCGGCCGCGCTCACATTGCCCAGTTGCTGTTGCTGCTGTTGTTGTTGTTGCTGATGCAGCTCATGATGATGCAGCGCATCATTGGTGGCAAGCGCCGTTGCACCATTGCCAGCGCTGTTGTTATTGTCTACAGAAGCCGGACGCCCGCGTCCGCCCATGCTAATGCCATTGATGCTGTGCAGCGGATTCTGCACGGCGACAAACTGTTATTTAATTAAATTAGGTGTGTTGTTCAATCGTAGCTATCCCTTAATGGTACCCACCTGATTTTGATGCAATGGCGGCGCGCTAGAGGCACGCGGCGCCTGATTGTCTGCGGCACCCACGTTGGCGCGGTGCACCAGCACATACTGACCAGTACCATTCTGATGCAATATTTGCTCCTGCGCGGGCTGTGCCTGTTGCGCCACCTGCTGACCCGCGGCCAGCTGCATCTGCTGTGAACTGGACGCACCAGGCGCCGTTGCTAGCATGTGCCTTATAACCGTTGTGGGCGAGGGCTTGCGC